ACGACGTATTGAGAGGCGCACACGACTTGGCTGCCGATGATGAAACAAATACCGGTTATAACTTCACCAGCAGAAAAACTAACAGCTTGGGAGTCCCTCGAGAAAATCGAGGAAGACCCGACCAAACCGAGAGCGACTACACAGATGATGACGCCAGCCCAGTGGTTTCGGTACATTTTACGTTTGAGAAAAAGCACTGACAAGGCGGCTGAAAAAACTATAATGCTTCCCTTCAGCATTTGAAAGACAGAAACTGGAGTGTAGACCAGACCAACAGCTTGGAAGGATGTACCGACGAGATCAAAACATGCCGGGAAGAAAATGGCTAACCATGTCTTGCGAGTTGGATATGAATACGATCTGCTGGACATCCTGCGTACAGCTAGGGCTCGGAAGTAGAAGACCAGCAATGCCAGGAACATACCAGAAAACATCATCAGTGACATGAACCATGGCTTGTTGAATAGGTGGACGCCGTATTGAGGGAGACCGATGGCGAAGCTCTGGAAAGCAAGCTTCTCTGAAATTGATTGCCCTGAGCCAACGATGAGACCGAGACCGAATGCTAATCCCAAGGTCGACACAGCCATAGTAAAACACTCAGTATGGGAGACTGACTGAGAAGTAAGTACTGTAGAGTTGGCACGCCTAGCTTCGTCACCGTCACGCGCCACGAATTTAAAACCTGGCAAATTCGTGTGAATTCGACTTTGGATATTCTTGTACACTAAATTTTACTTGAATTCACTCAAATGGAATGCGCAGATTTAGACCATTTTGGTGACATCTCTAAATGACCTACCACATATGGGCGTCCCATACCTCACTTGTGCTGGTGATCGACCATGACGGATATGAACAAAACTCCACCGGAGTGCGGATGTTAAAGATGATTTTGGTTCGCATTGTTCTACACTGCGACAGTTTTACTATTAGGCGAGCGAGTATATGTACGAATCTCTACAGTGAGAAATGTCGAAGATACCAGTGGCTTCTAAGACCTCCTTGTACAGTCTCTAGTAGTTGAGGAGTTTGGCAAGATGGCCGACTTCGGTACAATACCACAGCTTGTTTATGCACTGAAGGATGTCCGAATTTGAGCTGTTTTAATTAGACAACGCAATTTAGGGAAGATTCTCACAACTTGTCATGGATGTTACGGGGTATCCCATATCTTACCTCTCACTAACATCTGGACGAACCTTCCAGGCACAGACAGTCATACGGATGTCGCCATCGTGTTGTGTTCGACTATCATCAGCCCAATACTAGACAGTGTACTCGACGGTTTCACTTGGACTGGAGACCTCTAGGCCTCGATTGAGTCGCTCTATCCAAGAGAGCTGCTACTTCTGTGACCTCTCACAACCATCGGCAAGAATTAATGTTTTCCAACCCTTATGAATTTCTAAACGGATGATGCCGACTGTGGTTGTGAGGTTGACGACACAAAAGGGGACAACTGGTCCATAGGTCGCTGTAGCGTAATCCACAAAGACTCTTGTGGCAACTTCTGTCTACATAATTCATGATGTTGGGAAGAGCCATTCCTTCACTTGATATGTACACTGCTCTTTCAAATGATCACAACTGCGTTTCTGTTTCATTGCAGAAGAGGCCTTGTCGATTTTGCTGTAGACGCGTATGTTCGGTTAGGTTTGAGATGAACATCGATTCGTAATATCACTGAGGTTGATTGTTATCTTCGAATGCGTGGAGGATATCTCATGTTTCCTCATGTCGCATACCTCCCGCACGCACGCACACGAATCTTTCGTATGCGTTCACACTGTGATGTGTGGCTCATATGTAGGTCTATCACTTGCATCTTCAATCTTGGTTCTGTAGTAGACTGTCCCTACTTTTCCTCTGAACAACATGGTTAACCCTCGCGCTACCTTCAACACTACTGCTGGCAGCTTCACCATCGAGCTGTACATGGATAAGGTAGGCGCATTTGTTCTTCTTCCATGGAGGATCATTTATGCTTCATTCAGATGCCTATAACTGCGTCCAACTTCATCGACCTCGCCAAGACCGGCTTCTACAATGGTCTTCATTTCCATCGAGTCATCTCCGGTTTCATGATCCAGTTTGGCTGCCCCCACTCGAAGGACCCAAGGAGCTCCAGAGCTGGTAACATCTCGGTGCATTGTTAGCGTTGCGAATATAACCAGCTCTTTTCAGGCACTGGTGGCCCCAACGGTGGCACTAAGTTCAACGTTCCTGGCAAGGGAGAGATTACCAGAGATATGGGTGGCAACATCCCCGATGAGTTCAGAGAGCCTGGCTGTCCCCATCTGTCCAACGAGGTCCGACCATACCTAGATTCGCCGTGATAGATGATATCCGGGGTCCTCAGGTCGGAACCCTCTCTATGGCCAACACTGGCCGTCCCAACAGTGGTGGCAGTCAGTTCTTCATCAACGTAGCTCACAATGAGTTCCTCGATTTCTGGAGGAACGATTTGGCTCCCAGTCAGCATCCCGTATTCGGCAAGGTTGTTGACGGTAACATACTCGGTTTAGTGGATTTTACACAATGCTCATTCGTCGGTCCTCAGGTATGGATGTCGTGATGAATATTTCCAAGGCTCCCACTAACAGCAATGACAGTCCTAGGACTCCTATCATGGTCAACTCCATCACCGTACAGGGTGCCTAAATTTGACTACTAAGCTGGATTGTTGATGCTTGTGTGCTATCAATACTTCCACTCTTACTCGAATATGATGATGAGAGGTGGTGATACTGGTGGAGTGTCACCCCTACCAAGGTGAACTAGACTTTCCTAACCCAATCTAGTTTGGTTTTTACTTGCGTCTTGAGTTTGTTTATAGGGTATGGGGTCAAAGTTTGACCGTCAAACTGAAAAAAAGCTTGGTCATTCCACGGGTTGGGAAGAAATTTCATCTCGTTTGATATGAGGGAACTTTTTGTGGTCAGTGTGTTGCTTGTCCTTGAGGACTTATTAACCAGTAATATAACCATTAACGACATGCTTCACGAGTGACCAACTTATAGGTCGGGATATTTTCCGAGGAAAGGTCAGATATTCCTTCCGTTCTTGTGCTCACGATTTGGTTGGGGATAAGACCTGCTGCATCATGGGTTGAGAGTATGTTAATAAAATTTCGGCCTGATCAATTAGAATGTATCGGTATCTGTGGCATATACGATTTGCTCTCGTTACCCGTAGCATACACATCACGGGGTTAAGCTGCCAGTCCCGAACCATTCGATCCAATGCGTGCTCTTAGAGTCTCAGTCTCGTCATCAGCGATGTGTTGTAGCAGCGTAGGTTGGTCGTATGCTCCATAGGAGGATAGGTGTAGCACAGTGTGGGAAAATGTGCACATGTGTGGCCGATGATATAACTTCATCGAGGTAAATTCGGGAAATTCTCTAATTTGTATAAACGCCTATAATAGGTGAGGGAACCCCTGACTCAGTCCTGAGATCAGTTGAGGAAAGCAACCATATACTCCAACACCGGTGAAGCAGGGACGTAGTGATAACCATGACGAAACGATCCATGTCTTATTCGCTATGCCACCCCTTGTCCGTGTAACACAAAGGGACATCTCAATTACATCCTATGCGCTTATCCGTTCGTATATCAACGCATGAGCGCTCGATGATACACAAGGCTGCCTTCGATGAATGCCCTTCACGTACTCTCTTTTGTTTAGTCTTCAAATGTGCGGGGACAATGAATGTATACACAGTGATTAGCTCATGTGTGCATTGAAGAGCGTTACTGTAATCCACGACGTTCATCAATTCTCGCAGTGAGCGGAGTTGGGACATGTTCCCTGAACCCGTCCACTCAGTAACTCGAGAATGCGTTTCCATACGGACCACACGTGATCACTATTCCTATGGAACATGAGAAATCTTTCCTCGAAGTGTACATCTCTGCTATAAAGACTGTTAAGGTGATAGTCTTTCAGCAAAAGTGGTCATCAGTATGAAAAGACTTCTCTCTACAGAAAAACGATGCCGCTTGAATCGATCCCGCACAGAGTAGGTTCGAAGGAGAGGGTTTCCCATCCGTTCGAATTTCACGCGGAGCGCTGATTCATCGAAGACAGGACCTGGACGGGATCCATCCTTGCTGTCACCGAGAAACACATTCACCATAAATTCAACTCCTTCCATCGTACTCACTTCGCAGGCCTTCGAAATATCATTGCTTTCGATTTGAGTTTCCTCCGAGTGCGCTTGCCTCATCGTCACCACACCCGCTGCCAGCCAGATTAGTCGTTGTGCATCGGCATTGCTGAGCTCGCGGAGCTCACGCCGTAAATCTTCCTCTGAGTTTCGAGTAAAGACACTCCTTTTCGATCGCACAGGGATTGGCGTGTCGTTGAATGGACGCTGTGCATCTCCCGCATAGTTCTTGCGGCCCGGCTCGAGGACAACGTCGAAGAAACTCAGAAGAGCCTACCACACCAACGACTTCCTCTGTAAAACACAACTTTCACCTGTCCTTACTCGAGTATCCGGCGAGCATCGATCGAAGGTATCAGAAGATATCCAACCCCACATCGTACAATAACATGGTATGAAATACTTCGAGAACGGTGATAAGAGTCTTTGCCTACGGAAGACATGTCCCAGAAAGCTGAGTCTTCGAAAAGGAACACCTCAGCATAACATCATGCAACAGTGCCACAAGTGTATGAGTGATACTCATATTATCGAGATCCAAGAGGACGGGTCTGCTCGGGCCCTCAGAGCAGACACCAGTCGTGAGGATGGTCTCAGCTACAACGGCAGCTGCCAGGCTTCCACTGAGCTCACATGCTGGCTCACTGCAGCAGGTACTGACAAGCAGCACTCGGTGAAATGATAAGAGATAGATTGTAAATATCAGCCGGCAGCGAATCGCTGCTGTTTGGAGTCTTCACATGTCCATACAGGCCCGACCTGAGGATCTTTCTGAGTTGATCCCTCGGATGTTTCTGTTCATGCGCCTTGTACACCATGAGGCAATGACGAGGTCGACAGAAGCGTCTAGGAGCGGGGAGAACCTTCAAGGATTGCTTAGGAAAAGAACAAACAGCTTTTATAGGAACTTACGGTAGCAAATGGCTGCTGGACTTGCACTGATAGTTCTCCATCACTATCCCACGGCGCATCACCTCGAATAGGCACTTCCATCTGTAGACTGTGAACGTTACCAAACTGCCCCCCTCGCTTGTCGATATGATTGGTGTCTTCTACTATGCCAGGGAGCTCCGGTAAAGCGGTGTTCAGAAGGCTTGATATCAGAGCAATGATAGAAAGCTGATCAATACCTCGAACAGGGAAACGCGAAGTGTTGGGAGGAGGGTCGCATACAAGTATTAATTCGAAGAACATACCAGTGAACGATGATCTGCCAAGAAAGGCCGCCACAGGGTCCTCGTTAGTCCTTGGGTCAGGCAACTGTATGACCCTCTCGGCGGTCAGCGTTGGCACACTCAAACAGAGGAACTCGGGCAGCCTCCTCTTCGAACAGCTGGCTTCTTGGATGGCAGGAATCTCAAGCAGTACCATATCAAGCAACGTGCCCTTGAAACCAACCCAGCTGAAGGGCATAGCTCAACGGTGCGACAGACCTCGGTGAGCAGTGAGCTGTCTTTAGCTATCCGGAGGATCTCTCCGGCCAAAGTGACGTTGGCTGAAAAGGCGGTGCTGCCTCTGAAGGTGGCGAAGTCACTCTCGATTGACACTTCGAACTGGCAGGCAGGGATCCCAACATCAGGACAGATGAAGCTTCACCGTTTGTCGAGACTCAAGCAACTCCTCCATAACAGGCACCCGTTTCTTACAGCCGGGGCATACGAGATGTGGTGCGGCCTGAACGAGTCAGGGAAATGCTCTCCTTGATGAACGATGACCAGTTATAGTAGAGTACTTGAGGGATATTCCTTGCGAGCGGCAGAGATTCCGAAAAAGCCAAGCGCTGCTGGTGTCCACAACATGGACGGCTTGTCCTGCACCACACGTATTGATGCATCTCTGATTTTGACCGCATCACGATGCACCGACGGTATCTCCTTGGCAGACCGCATAACCTATCAATGAAGATGCACTATCAAGGAAGTCTCCTGTATTAGTCTCAATCGACGACGAGGATTGACACAATTCGCTGAGTGAGCTACAGATGACAATAGGAGATAAGGAACAATTCCCCACATAGAACTGCAGGGATGATCTATCATTCAAGGATTCGTTGATGAGGAAGCTCACCCTAGTTTGAGAAAGTTGATACCATTCTTCGGCGCGAGGGTAAAATTGATGAGATGATGAATGACTTCAACTCTACCCTCCAGGATGATCTCTTGTAAAACGAAGCCGAAGCAAACCCTGAAGTAGGTCACCTGACGTGGAGATGAGCCATAACACAACACATGCACAAACCACTCTGATGAGAGAATCACTGGAGAGAAGAAGGGAAGCAAAAGCGGGATAGAACAGCCATTTACGTACTGTTGAGATCCATCCCTCGTTGAGGATATCCCGACAGATAACAGAACACCTCAGGAGCTCCTGCATGTCCATGTTCAAGACTACCACCAATGGATACGGATCAGTCCCCGAGGTAAACCTCTCTCGGAGGTAGGGTATCAGACCTGGTGGGTACTCTCGGAATCGATGATGCAGAAAAGACATCGCCAGAGGCTCACCATTATTCTCGACAATTTTCAACATCAGCAGAGCGCTGCAGGCTTCCGTGGGAGTTATGTTCCCAAGACGGCTGGACACTCCACAACTGGCATCAGTTGTGGAGTGGACTTTCGCGGCAGTGCTACACGGTACGTCGGCATCTTCTTTAGACACTAAAAAAGTTCACCTCCCTCAAAGTGGACTTAGCGACGAGTGAATACCGTGGGACCCAGCCTGCATCGGATGGTCGCCTAGGTGGCAGGTATCAGCAGCGGAATCATG